GCATAATTATAGAGGTTGTTGTGTCTTTGAAATGCCATTTTTAAGTCGTATTGAAATGCAGATGAATTAAAGTATTTAAACTGCCTTGTTTCTACAATTTTTGGTTCAGCCCTAGGTATTCCTACTTTGCGGCAAATGTACACTAAACTGTGATCACTCAGTCCTAAATGTATCACTCCAGAGTCTATAATTTTGGTATCGCTTGCTTTAGTCATTATTATGTCAATTAATGTTTTAGATGTTGTCGGTATTCTAGTCGGACTTGTAATGTGTTGCTTTAGCTGAAACTCATTTATCAGATCGGATAACCTTTTTGTATGATGAGTGGGACTGTTTGCCATCATATCGCAATTTAGGTCGCCAGTGATAATAATATCAATATTTGTATCATCTAGTTTTCGCAGTAACGTTTCGAAGTCGTTTAATATGCTAGTGTTAGAATTTGGTGGACGATACCATGTAACAATTAAAAGTGGTTTTGACTTAGGTTTTTGAAGTTCGAGACAAATAGATTCTAAGTTGTCTGGAATGAATTCGATATGGTTTTTATAACTAATGATACTTCTTATATAAATTGCTACACCGCCACCATTTCGATCTCGGGCTCGTCTTACAATATCATAACCTGGTATCTTAATAATATTGTCATTTATTGTATTGTCTAATCTAGTTTCGTTTATGCAAAGAATGTCGAATGATATTTCCTTCATGAATAATTTAAGCTCATCCATGTGTTTCGGCAAACTAGTAATGTTTAAGTGGCCAATTTTAAACCCTTTAGTTTTGGATAAGACTTATTAATTTGGAAAGGAATTTTTGGGCTTTTCGAGGTGCAGCGTGCTGGACTATCGGAATTATCTTTGTCGACTATATTATTATCGCTGTGTCTTATGTCATTATTATTGTCGTTACCTAGTCAATTCCTATTAAGAAATTGCTTTATGTTTTTTGCTAAGACTGATGTACCCTGCTTATTTAAGTGCAGTCCGTAGTTATTTAAATGGTTTACGTCAATATTATTGTGCCTGATAAGACACCAATTTCGTTCTATACATAGTTGGGCCAATCCCTTGTTATATTCGTTTACCTTATCAGCCAATGTTTTATCGTCATTTCTTGTTATGATTTCTGATAAAACTAATTCAATATTCCCGTTTTCTCGAGTAATGCTCTCTCCAAGCTTTTGTACATGTGTCAACAATTCATCTGGCGTCATTCTTTGTAGATCATTGGTTCCGACGTGTAAAATAAGCTTATTTGGTGCCGTGAGTAGCGTTGGTTTTACATAGTGATTCATTTCTTTTATTCCCGCACCAGGAAATGTTTTTACCACAATTTTATGCTTCATTCCTTGTTGAATTCGTCTCGCGTTTATTTGTTTAAGCATAGAATCGCCCAAAATAGCAACTCTTGATTGTCCTACGCGCGGAGATCTGCGAGAATCTTGGGCTCGCTCGTTGTTGTTGTTATTTCGGTCGTTGTCTGCTTGTTGTTTTCTAGGCGCAGAATAGTTATGTCTTTTGTCTTCATTGGACCTGATGGTGTGCCTGGGTGGTTCAGATTGATTTCTATTCTTAGGTAATCGACTTTGAGATAATATGTTAATCTCGTCGTCACTTTCATCAACTAAATCAGAATATTGATTATCTGTCTTGGCTAGTCCATTGTGACTATTTTCCCCAGAGTTTTGTCCACGTTGTGTGCTTTCATTCTGATTTGGCTTACGATTTTTAACAACATTCCATGACCATGTACTTTGTTTATTTGTATTGCAATCATTTTGTACAATTTTGATTGCTGTTATTAAACTTTTCTGTTCATCTTCTAGTTGTTTAGCTTTCGTGTGTAAGTCCGATGCAATACACTTATAGTTATTGACTTGGTCCGATAGTATGTCGATTTCTTGCTTCAGTTTGCCATTTTCTTTAATTAAGGAATTTCGGTCTTCACTGATAGTTTCTTCTGTTGTTTTGGACTGTCGAATTTCCTGCAAAAGCTCATCGAATTGGTTTACAAAACACAGTTCAAGGTCTCGTATACTGTCGAGTACTTTGTTGTAGTTCGATGTCTCATGTGAATTTATTTCGATATGACTGTTTTCGGTCGAGGCTGTATTTACGCCGTCTCTCTCCCTGTCGCCATTTCCTTCACTGACAAAAGCGTTTGCTAACTCGGTTTCTTTATCAGCTAGGTTGGCCATTATTCGCAACCGAGAGTTTATTTCTTCGACTTCGTCTTGCTCCCCTTTAATAATTAAAGAGTAATTGTTTGAATACCACCGCATTTCGAAGTTGTCCATCTCTAGCAGCTTACAATGACCACCAGGCGATGACCATTTTGTCTGTGTCTCGAGCAACTTGTTCATCAGTATTTCGAGATTCTCGAAAGAACCTGTCCATCTGAGTTTTACTTTTTCAGTAATATTAAGATACTTAACGACATTGATGTTATTCGCTCGCTTAGATTCTACATTCTCTTCAACATCGCTTAATTCGGCGTCAGAGCTCACAAATAAGCGTCCGTCCGCCATGCTTGTTCAAATTCTTCGTTTAACTATATTGTATTTATCCTGTCTCTGTTTTAAAAAATATATAAGCAATTGAAAATACTTTATTAGACAATTGTATATTGATGTGTTTCATAATATCTTGTTTCACGGCAGGAGCACTGGCTAAGCTTATATAGGTCGGTGGGCAGAAGTCTATATTATTATGGCATGTAAAAATTCGTCACGCGAAAAACGCGTCGCGGATTGTGCACGCATAAGACACAGTTTTACTGCGATGTATTTGTTAAGTGTGTAACTAAGTATGCTCCTGCAATTAGAACGATAAATATTTTAATTAATCTGAAATAACCATTTAGCGCAAATTACCGGTATGTCAATCTGGGATAACATTTTAGCGCACATTACCGGTATGTATCAATGACCTGTTTATATGCGGATATATTATTTTCTGATTATATTCTGGACTAGCTAGTGCTTGGCGGCCATTCACTTTTAAAGTTGTCGATTGATTACAAGGTAGAGTACGTGGATCCGGTGGGGCAACGATTCGTAGATTCATGTACGCGTAGCGTACCTATTTTTCCAAATTGCACTCGAAACCATACTATTACCTATACATATAGTGTTCTTATTCTCAATTTAGCGATATGTGACACTGAGGAATGGCTGCGTTTCAGAAACTCTTGCTACATAATAGTGAAACGTCAGGTAACCTGTGCTGATGCTAGGAAGAAATGTGAGAATTACGGAGTAAAATTGGCGGTCATAAATGATACTGAAGAGAGAAAGGTTTTCGAAAATAAAGACTTGGTAAGATTTTATAGTATATGAATTACTTGACTTGGCCTAAAAAATATACTTACTAGTTACTAATAATTAGTTACTACTAATAAGTATTGTATTTATTTACTTAGTTAGTTAGTTATAGTTAGTTACGAAAGGAAGCCGACAGCTGCATGTAAAATGGTTTAAAACAGAAGGGAGTTTTGTTGTCTCTGGGCGCAATTTTCGTGGTTGCTTGGGTTAATTTTCTCTTCCGCGAATTTTGATTTTCCAAAGTTCGACATGCAATTTCGAAAGCCTGAAAGTTTTTTATTGCTTATTAAAAGTATTCCTACTTCTTCTGCCACAGATAATCGAATAACTTTCCATGTACATCCTATACGTGTTTTAATATGAAGCAGATGCATAAGAACACGATTGCGATATTTGATTCGGATATTTTGGACACATGCAGCAGCCTTGCATAACTTAATGAAAATTGTTTCAAAAGGTGTTTTGCCTCAGCAGTATAGGGGATTTTCCCCCTCGTTTCGCCACTCACAAGGGAAAGATTATTGGAATGGATATTAATAGATATAGCATTATAATGCTGCTTTAGCATGCATGTTTTATGATTTTAGTTTAAAATTTGATTTTGTTTAACCAACTAATTTATTTCTAAGTTTAGTTTGTTTACTAACTTAGTTTGAAATAAGAATTTCATTTTACGATTAGAATTTTATGCCTTTGTATAATTCTTGAATTTTCATAATAATTTTAATAATAATCACTCATACCTCAAGCACTCAGCCTGGGCGGACTGGTATTTTTTGCTCCGCCAATTACACCATCTGAAATGCCATGAGACTATCAAATCTCTTAAGATAGAAAACGATCCACTTTAAAGTCGATTGTAAGCCTACATTTGCGATAAATCTGCAAATGAATATACAGTTTAATGCGAGGCCCGATATCATGAAAGATTAGTACGATACAATGTATGTCTATAATCATGAAAATTCTATAATGTATAGGCCTACTATCACTATACTGCTGATGATCTATATACTGTAGTCTACCAAATACATATTCTTATAGAATCTCTGCTAATCTTATGCATGCTGCACAATTGCATGTTCGATCGTAAAACTGTGGTTTTGAGCACCTAAATTGTATTTTGATCCTGCTATTTTAAAATGATGAATAATTGTAAATATAATCAGTCGAATTAATCGTAGGCACTGTCCAAGGGTATTATCACCCCTTGGTTCAGATCTATGTCAGAAGGGGTTGCTATATTCCAGTATGGCAGGGCCCTATCGGGGATTATGAACCCTGGAGCATTTAGTCTCTCCTAGCAGGTCTTATATACTCCTACGTGATGAAAACATAAGGCGTAATGAGTCTTTGGTTTGACCAGAGTTATGTATGTATGTATAATACATATGTATTTGCTTCACTTTACCTTGATTCATTTCTCCAACAATAATTTGGTGTGTGTTTTACTTATATTGGACTGTTCTTTTGCGTAAAACGTGCTTGAATCATTCATTTTATAACAACTACGAACTTATTGAATGTAGCCCACGCGATGTAGCCAACTCCGCAGGTGCCTCTATGGGTTTTAGCTTGCGAATGGGTTGTGAAAATAAAAATTCTTTCCGACCACCCAATTCTTCGGGTTAGATGCTTGCGGAGGAGGCTGCACGCGATGGCAAAATTCCCCTCGATCGTATCCTAAACAAAAACAACACTGCGAAAGGACGTTGTACGGGAAATTTAAAATGGCGGAAAATTTGAATTTCAACTTCCAAACCAAAAACATAGCCATTTACTCGTTCAAAAAGTCAAGCAAATAGGAAAATACAACAGATGGGTAGAATATAGACCTTAATAAATTTATTCATTTAAACTATAGAAAGAATGTAAATGAATTTTAAAAATCTCTTATTTGAACGGGAGCGTATCGACTTCTTCGTGCAAATATAAAAAAAACTTCTATCCTGCGCTAGTTCAGGTAAAATAAATTTTTACACGATAAATTTATTGACAACCGCATTTGGTTGGTTCTCTTGAGTGATATAATATTTCTTATAAACTGTGTTTTTTATTTATAAGTTGACGCGCTCATTTAACTCGCAATTTTACAGGAAAGACTCACACTGGGTAGTTCATATTTGCCGCCATTAAACATTTGGAGTGATCCATTAAGTACATATATGTAACTATGGTGGGAGGGGGAGTCAGAGTAGTTCATGCGTAGGCCTATATATGTCATTTGCATTGCTCTTTGCGTACAAGAGGGAGGGAGGGAATGAGTACATTTTTTAAAAATGTTTCATGGCGTTTTTCTCGGTGTAGGAAAAACAAAAAATTGTTAATAGTTACACTCTGTGAACTTGTTGTTTCAATTATTTTAGATTGTTTGGATTTCTGATGTTGATAAACTTCATAATCAATCAGATTCTTCTTTTAAACACTGTGGTCAAACTGAGCAAGGAATTGAGTCTGCTCAGGGGAATAATACAACAATTTTATTTTTAAACGATTTTATTTGTGAGAAAAAAGGTAAAAGCATAGATTCATGTCTTGCAGTTCATGCATGAATGCTGACCATTATCCTTCCAACCTCTCACCCCCGACATTCCCTCGACCCGCACTGATATATTCACTTCCGGTGTGAAGGCATGCGGTGACTGACCAAAGATATAAACTAAAACAAAAATACATGCATGCAGCATTTCAAAATTTCGACATGAAATAATAAAGTGCCTATATCACTTGTGGGACATTTATGGGTTTGAAAAGAGCGTGAAAAGTTAGTTAATACGTTCAAAAGCTTTTTTTTGTATTTGGTGCAATAGTTTTGAGGATATAGGCCTTTAAACAACGCACTGTTCCTGAGTACAAGCCTCGTGGTGTCTAAACACGGCTATTGAATTTGGCCTTTTTCGAAACTGTTCATTGCGCATAGGAGCCTGGGACTTAGAGGCCTGTATCTTCGAAATTATTGCGCTAAATCAAAAAAAGCTTTTGAACTTATTAACTAACGGTTTACACTCTTTTCAAATCCACAAAGGTCCCACAAGTGATATAGGAACTTTAAATATACCTTGAAGGAACAGTTTAGACGTTTGAATGATGATTTTATGGCGCATTTTAACCCTTTTAATTAAAAAATCTAACTAGGAAAATCAATTAAGCATAATTCAAGCTCAATAAACTCAATACAGAAATGCAGTTTATAATAAAAACATCAACAAGACATGTCGAGACTTGCAGTTAGCAGTACACATGTAACACACAGAACTAGTAGATAACATGACCTTCACTCACTATCTGATACCTTATAGCTCAATGGTTAGAATGTCTGTCCGGTTTTCAGAAGGTTACGTGATTAAATTCCCGTTAGGGCTCACAACTTTTTTGAGTATAGGCTTGATACGCCTCCACACCAAATCAGTGACATGGTTCATAAGGCGCTACCACTGCAGCACACATATTAACGGTCTATTAACGAAGTATAGTAAAATGGTCTATTAACGAAGTATAGTAAAAGACAATCAGTGACAAAATCCAAGTACATACAGCGACATTCAATGTTACTGAAAATGTAACTAGTTATCTTCACAGTTACTCGAAAGGGTAACGATTATAGGTATACCCAATTGCTTGTAGCGAAGTTACTCACAGCACTGTACGTAAATGTGTGTAATCAATGTGCTACAATTTTCAGGTAATTGTCCAGATTATTGGAATCTTGCAAACAACAGCTTTCGTTGGCGAGTATTTGATAACGTTCTAATGACGTGGCAGGCTGCTCATGCGTTTTGCTTGCATCAGAATAGTCGTCTTTTAAATTCAAATGATGTTCAAGTTATTAACAAGACATCATCTTCTTTGAAAGATGGGAAGCGATACTGGATAAACAGTACTCAAATTAAGGTCTATCTTCCACATGATCCGTTACATGGCTGGTACTGGCTAGATGGTGGACAATTTAATGCCAGTCACAGACGAGGATTATATGGAGACCTGACCTACTCTGGCGAAGAAGAGAGATGTGCTATTATTCGTAACAGGAAGAATGGCATTTGGGAAGATAGCCCTTGTAGTGCAGGTCATCCGTTTATCTGTAAAAAGAGGAAACTTAATAGGAACACGGTATTTATTGTCTACATTTCCAATTATAATCATAAATAAAATTAGGCTAGGCTAAGCAGTAGTAATGGTAATCCCGTGCCACTGTAGAGTAATTTCGCGCGCTCACGGGGGAATTATTCTGGATCGAGTGCGCTCCCTAGCGCTTATTATTTATCATAAGAAAGCCATCATTTTGTTCTACAACAGGTTTCTTATTTCATTTGTTTCTATCTTTTCTGACCAAAAGTTATAAAACATTAGTATGGTAAAGTGAAAAAACATCTTGGCTTAGCTTTAAGATCATTGTTAAAAATGGACTAAGGGATCATCATAATTATCAACATTTTCATGCACAAGAAAACAAAAAAAAACGGTGAGAGGAGGGCCGGAGCTAGAGGGTTGATGACTTTTGTTATGTACGCTCTTTAAAATATTGACTATACACCCATCTTCATTCTTTAAGTTCAACATTTGAGTATATACGCTATTGGATGGGATGAAGATTCGAAAAAAGAGCACTTTCTGAACGCATGTAAAAATGTTGATAGTCATGGACGCGACCCCTAAGAATGGTAGCTCGCGAGCTTACGTTTGATCATTTTCGACTTGTCTCTCATAAAGAATTATATTTCCGTAAATAATTTTGTAAAAATAATGAGATTCCTGCACTTGGTCTGGAATATTATACTAACTTCCAATCCCCGCTCAAATGGTAGACCATGTTGATTACTTGTCATGCTCTTATCCTCTTATATACCTGTTTTATGGTAATTCCGCGTTAATTGTTCCCGAAATGAGAATGTGCTGAAACTTTCCAGGCATGGAGTTTATGATATAGCCTACTTAAAGTAAAATCACACAAAAAAGTTGGGGTGACCAAACTCGTCAAGAAGATATATGACAATCACAATATACCACCTTTACCCCAATTAATATGGCGCCGTCTTGACGCTCATTACGCGAGTAACAGCAAAATCACAACACCCCGATATTTATTTACATTAGTAAACCTATCTTGTAATTATTTTTGAAAAAATATTGTGTTTTGAGCAAATTAGTCAAATTGAAACTACTAATCTGTACAATTCTGATCCACAGATGTCTTTTCCACATTTCTTTACATATCTTTCTTTGAGAACATGCATTGATAAAGGATTTTTTTCAACAAAAATACAAGTAAATAAATATACTACAGACATGAAATACAAGTAAATAAAAATATTCTATAGATACAGGGAACCCTAGCTACACTTTTGTATGCCTTTTTTGAAAACATTGATTTTAACGTAATTCTTTGTACGAATGGCCAAAGATCATGATTTTTTTCTGTGTTGGTGTAATGTACTCAGGTAAATATGATGCTTGTGATGTTACTCTGAGTGTATATCCACACCGGGAAAGCTTGAAAAATATACCTGACCACGGTGGGAATCGAACCTACGACCTTTGGAATTCGAGTCCAATGCTCTGCCAATTGAGCTACGCGGTCTGGTCGGTTGGAGTATGTAATATTTCGGAACAGAATCTAGTTCCTTCGATATCAATGTTATCTAATAATAATCATGATTTTTTTTCTGTGTTGGTGTAATGTACTCAGGTGAATATCATGCTTGTGATGTTACTCTGAGTGTATATCCACACCGGGCAAGCTTGAAAAATATGCCTGACCACGGTGGGAATCGAACCTATGACCTTTGGAATACTAACCCAATGTTCTGCCAACTGAGCTACGCGGTCTGGTCGGTTAGAGTATGTGATATTTCGGAACAGCATCTAGTTCCTTCGATATCAATGTTATCTAATAATAATCAAGATTTAAAAAACAATCATGATTTTTATTAGATAACATTGATATCGAAGGAACTAGATTCTGTTCCAAAATATCTCATACTCGAACCGACCAGACCGCGTAGCTCAGTTGGCAGAGCATTGGGCTAGTATTCCAAAGGTCGTAGGTTTGATTCCCACCGTGGTCAGGCATATTTTTCCAGCTTGCCGGGTGTGGATGTGCACTCAGAGTAACATCACAAGCATCATATTCACCTGAGTACATTACACCAACACAGAAAAAAATCATGATTATTGTTAGATAACATTGATATCGAAGGAAATAAATTGTGTTCCGAAATATCACATACTCGAACCAAGGGCTAGTATTCCAAAGGTCGTAGGTTCGATTCCCACCGTGGTCAGGCATATTTTTCAAGCTAGCCCGATGTGCATATACACTCAGAATAACATCACAAGAATCATATTCACCTGAGTAGCCTACATTACACCAACACAGAAAAAAAATCATGATTATTGTTAGATAACATTGATACGAAGGAACTAGATTCTGTTCCGAAATATCACATACTCTAACCGACCAGACCGCGTAGCTCAGTTGGCAGAACATTGGGTTAGTATTCCAAAGGTTGTAGGTTCGATTCCCACCGTGGTCAGGCATATTTTTCAAGCTTGCCCGAGGTTCGATTCCCACCGTGGTCAGGCATATTTTTTAAGCTTGCCCGGTGTGGATATACACTCAGAGTAACATCACAATCATCGTAACCAAATATGTTTTGAAGTAACATAAAATTGTCATAAAATGATTTTTTTAAACGGTAAGTATAATGGATGAAATTAAAGTTATAAGATGTGCGCAGTAAAAGTGTGCAATGCAAAACTGCGGAATTACCTTAATCCAGCTGAGAAAAAAGTTTATTGATTTCTACTCATGGCTACTTTTGTACTGTTGAGTTCGTGGTTTATACAGATAAATTATGTTCGTAATCTGCGTAGGAAAAAATACAAACTGGTAAAATATTCGTTAAATAAAATTGAATTTCTTCTTTTATTTATAATAATTCTAAAGAATTTGAAGAGGTGAAGGTACACTAATTTCTTCTTTTATTTATAATAATTCTAAAGAATTTGAAGAGGTTTTTTTTCTAATTGTATACCACCAGTTCGTTTGATGCTAGATTTCCGGATCCTTTCATGGCGTTCAAAAACTGCTCTGTCAGCTAGCTGTTTTCTTTATGTTTTTGTCACACGAATTGTAAAATGAAAAAGTTTTATTTTTTCCCTGTTATGTCCAATGATGGGAAACGTGCTTCGCTGTAAAAATGAAATTGTTTAAATAAGAATTTGTCCACGGTTATCCGACAATCTATAAGACAAATATAAGACAAAAGAGATTCCAAAGATTTTATCTTAATATTTAATATTTGAACTAAAGCATGGACAAGTTTTTGAAACTAAATTTTCGACTTATTTTAATGTCTCATTATTATACATGTCTCTTTTTGTCTATTTAATTTGTCTACGGAGTTTTTAGTGCCATGCACATGCCTCGTTGTCTTGCAGATGTCCATTTAAATCCATTTAAACACGCAGAGGCAAAATGTAAATCGATATCAGTTTGCTTTCCTTTCACAGAACAAGATAGTGGAGGCTGTACGTAAACTTTTACACGCCTGTAATTGTAAGGTAAATGTTCACTTGATAACTTAAATATATATATATATATATATATATATATATATATATATATATATATATATATATATATATATATATATATATATATATATATATATATATATATATATATATATATATATTCGAATAACAGGCATGTTAATAATACAAGTATGAAATAAAATAAATTCTGATTGGCTATAAAGAGAAATTTAGTTTTATTGAAATAGCTACAGTGCTAGCTAAAAGCTGTATTTTAGTGCCAAAAAAATCAATTCAGTGCAAGTAACTCAGTATACAAAAAGGAATACCTAGTTGAATAAAACACTGTGATTTAAGTTTTAATTTCTGACATTTTTTATCTGTTCTTATTCTTTATACTAATATTAATGTACGGCTTCTTAGCTTGAAGACAAACTGTTTGATACAACCAAGGAAATCATTGGTATTATCAACTCAAGCAACTTCAAAGGATCATTTAAAAGCACAATAGGAAGCAGGACAGCAGGTATGAGTCCCATTTAAAGGACGTTGTATTGTAAATTGCTCACACAACAACAGTATCTGTCGTGTATGAGCTAGCACATCGGAGATTTACATAGAAATAACTAGAAATGTACGCATGCAGCAACCTCTCGCATTTGTACGCATGCAGCAACCTCTCGCAAGTTGAACAACTATAGTTCCTATACAATCATTATTTCAACATGTTCAATTCTCATGCAACTAATAATTAAAACTATAAACGTTAGCTAAACAAACGTACTTGAGGATGTACATGTTGCAGATGTATTGTGGTCGTTGTGTCAAAGATAGTGGTAACCATGGTAACATCATTTTTACATTTTTCTGCAAGGGGAACAACTGAATCGGCATATTTTAAAATTAATACTTGTTTAACTGTAGGCCTAGAATTTTCAGTGCTCAAAATAAAAATTTAATGTAGATTTTATAAGACATTCTATAAATTTCAATTTTCATTCCTAGACTTTCACTAAAACATTTTGAAACGTTTATTAATTGAACTTAATACGCGAATAATGGGGTGCCAGATCTGCTTTGAAACGAAATCTTTGAAACGAAATCTTTGAAATAAACTAAATTCCACCTTCGGTTCAAGACTTCAACTCACTGTTAAAGTGCAAGCTTTTTGTGGAAATAGGTTTATTTAGAACAATTATGCAGAAATGAAATGGATAACGTTGTATAATCGCAGCAACAAATATATTTAAAACAAACAATTATACACAAACAAACTTACAGGTTTCTTTCCGTGTCTTATATGGCAACATTTGCCCTCACGTCTTGTCTTCATTTTTTTCAAAGCAAAACCCGCTTCATTGTTTTCATTTCTAAAACTATAAACTAGTTTCTCATGTTTTTTTAAAACCTTGCCAATAGCAATCCGCCTTATTTTTGAGATCAGTGGGCTGTCCACCTATTAACTACAGCCATGTGCCGGCGATTGACTTTTCACTGTGCTGGATTTTATTTTCCCTGGTGTATATATAGCCGATCGGAACTAGTACTGCTATACACGTCCCGCGCATGCTCGGGGAATATTATTTTAGGATTCAAACACTCG